TTAATCCAAAAAAGGGCAAAGAAAAATACTCATCAGGACAGACCTTCAATAATCTGAATGCACGGAGCGAAGGATCCCACTGCGGGCAAAAGCTTTGTCAAATTGATTAAATCAAACAGAAGTACCTTAAAGCCGTCATTCCAGGATGTCAGAGTAGTTCCTAATATAGGTCCTAAAATGCACTTTTAGACACCGACCTCTTTTAATTAAGAGTTATTAGGAGTAATTTAAATGCATTAAAATTTTCTTCATACCAGCTGTTAAAATAATTTTAAATTTTTAGCATTTTCCATTCCTTTAACTAAATGTAAGTTTTCTTATAGGGTGAAAGCATGGGAGTGGAGGAGCAGCGAGGACAAGGTAAGACTTCTCTTAGGCTAGGGCATATAAGCAGCTGTGACAGTGGGTGAATTGGCATCTTGTGGACTTTTACCCTTCACAGGAATGACGTCTTCTTCTTTCTCTTCATTAAGAACATTGTTCTTTGTGCTTAGATTTGCACTGCTGGTAATCGGCATTATAATAGAATGCAAGAAGGGGATAAAGTTGAGAAGTGCATTCTTTTCAGCTTTATCCTAGTTAATCTCTGCAGGCTTGAACTTTCTCATCGTTTGTGGGGATTGAGCAGTCCAAAAGGTAGGATCGGTGGCTACAGATGAAGTCCATGGTTACGACTCTCGAAAACCAGATATGATGGGCAGGCTGGACACCCTAAGAGAGGATATGCATATCGTGAAGGCGAAGGAAAAGGCTGTTGTTGATCGGGTAATACATTGGCTGAAGTGGAACTCGACACAGGTTTGTGCTTCTGTGTCTGGTTCATGTGGGAGTGGCACATAATTTCGGCAAGTAACACCGCTCTGTTTCCTTAGGTGGCAACATTCGTATGAAAATCGGAATCCGAAGGATGTCTGGTTCAAAAACTGTGACAATTTAGTCACCTCGAGATTCTCCCTGCTTGACTATTCTCCGTTTGGTGTCATTGGTGTTCGTGTTCTGAAGGTTATTCGCGTACATAATCGTTTCCTTCAGGACCGCTGGGAAAAGAGCTTTGAGGGGAAGGTACTGAATCAAAGCAGGCTTCTGAGCTTTCTAACTTTCTTCGATCAGGTTGTCAAGTCCAGAAAAAAGCATGTCGAATATCTTCTTTATGGAGAGACGCTACAGTTCGCCAATGAGTTTCAGTGCATTGTTGCAGAAGGATTTCCTTACTTGCCAGGCCAGTCGAATCATGGTTGTCATGGTCCAGTTTCACTTTCAAACGCTATTGGTTTGGCGGTTGATAATCAGCATCATGTGAAAATATAATGGCCAGGTCACTTTTTGGCCGCAGGAACAATAAGAGTATGAGCTCAAAAACGGCAACCAGATCGAAAATATTCATACCGGTAAGCTCCTGAACTGAGCAACCAAGGTACGCTTTGACTACAAGAAGCCATCCCGGGGACCGGACACTCCAAGGACTTCCAGTTCGACTTATATGGACCCCACCCCTCGGATCCAGCGTAACGATCATGGTTTGTGAGTTTCAGTACACTTACCATGGGGAAAACAGTGGATGAGAGCTTTCACAGAGGGTTTCAGTTTGAGGATCGAGGCGTCCATACACGGATCCGGTATGCTTTAGGTCTCATTCACTTGTTGGGCCTGTTGAGCAGCCCGACTGCCAGGCTCCCTGATTGCTAGCCCAGCACCTGCAGTCATGGAAATTTCAGAATTCCACCACCTTGATTGGGTCACCTCGCTTGCATCGGCCAACGGCATTCGCCCCTTGAACATGCTCCTTAGAGCCCTAAAGCCGTGCTGACCAGTCAACCAAGGCCCGTCGTAGACCAAGTCAGCGGTTTCATTTCTTTTTTCTTTCCTCCTTGCTTGTCATGTTACCCAGCCTCGGGAGGAGCAAGCATGAGCGATCGAGCAAGTGTGGCGTGATTGCGATTGAGGTGCAAATAAGCGTAGCATAATAGCACTGTGCAGCATGGTCGAAAGAGGTGGATTTCCCGCTGCACGCCGCCTTGAGCTCTGGAGTTTGGTTGTTTTTCTGTGGGGCACCACACCCAACAACACATGCCAAGGTTGTGATTGGAGAGAAGTCATCTCCCTCCAGCAACCCGATTGGATTGGAGTGCTCCAATATATTCCTGTCAATGATTGCCCAATCTTGGAAAGCAGCATGTCAGAGAGTTTTCAATTCCCGGCCAGGATAGAAAATTTGGTTTGGAGACGGGCGTCACTCAGCCTGGATCCATGGCTTGAATGGACACGCCAACTGGGGGTTGCAAGCCATGACGGACAAGAGCGGCAGCGCCTAAACAAACAAGGCGGATCCTTTGGCGATCTTGGCAGGAGTGTTGTCAAGTTGGCCAACGCATTGAAAAACTTGACCGTGACCAACAAAAGGGAGGTTGACGGAACTCTTGAAACGTGATCCATTGCCACAGGGTTTAACGTGGAAGCCCAGGAGCCTCGGAGATAGATTTTAAGTGGGAGTTTCCAAAACACCACTTTTCCCAGGATGAACGCATACTTTTCCCTGCGCTGTGCCATATAATCTATCCTTTGTGCAAGCAAAGCTACATGATCACTTGACTGCCATGTTATAGTGATCAATCCAGACGCCGTTATCCTGCGATTATAAATACCAGCCAAGGCTTGAGCCGGGTCTTTGTGATCGAGCGAGTATATGCTTGTAGCTAGTCTCGGCCGAGAGCAGAAAAGAATTAGTGACTGGTGATCTAGATCAATGGAGTGCGGTCATGGGATCTGGCTCCAAGTGCTGCCGCTGTTGCAAGTGCTGGCGAGCCGAGAGCGCAATCAAGATTTGTTTCATGTCATGCTCCAGCTCGCTGCCGGCATGGTAAGATCGTCACGGATGCTATTGCTGACGATCCTCCTGCTCTGCTTGCTGGCCTTGTCAGCCAAGGTGTGGTGCAACAGGCTCCCTGGCTGCAAGAGATCATGGAGCAGCACCATTCCGGGGCCGGCAGGAATGCCCGTGGTGGGCAACCTGGTGGAATTCGGCCGTGCCGCGGGGCAGCCACACAGATGGCTGGCGGAGCTGGCTGCAGCCTTGAATCCCAGCGCGGGGCTCATGGCCTTGCAGCTGGGGAGCACCAGGCTGGTGGTGGCCAGCAAGCCCGAGGCGGCGCGAGAGATACTGAGCAGTCCCTGCTTTGGCGATCGGCCTATCAAGCAGTCGGCTCAGGAGCTCATGTTTGGGAGGGCCATCGGATTCGCGCCGCAGGGCGAACACTGGAGGCGGCTGCGAAGGATTGCCGCGCACAGCCTCTTCTCGCCCAGGCGAATGGCGGCGCAGGAGCACATACGGCTCCAGGAGAGCGAGGCGATGCTGGGGGCGATCCGCCGGCAGGGGCAGCAGGATCCGCTGCCTCTCCGCTGCATCCTGCAGCAAACGTCGGTGAGGACGATGATGAGGAGCGTGTTTGGGTGGCGGTCGTCCAACAAAGAACAAGAGGAGGAGCTGGTCAGCATGGTTCGCGAAGGCTTTGACCTTCTCGGGGCCGTGAATTGGGCGGATCACATCCCGTTGCTCAAGCACCTGGACGCGCAGGCCATTCAGCGGCGCTCCCGAGTTCTCGCTGCTCGAGTGTCGGCGTTTGTCGGCGGCATCATCAGGCAGCACAGGCTGGCAGCAGCCACGGGCAACGCGGGAATGCGGAGCGACGACTTTGTGGATGTTCTACTCGCTCTTCAAGGGGAAGACGAGCTCCAGGACGACGACATTGTTGCGGTGTTGTGGGTAAGTGAGCGAGCGATCTAAGCCTACAATGCAAACAGTTCTGTTTGTCATCAAGGTGGCCATGCCGTTGACTTCCTTTTTTGCACGCTGTTGATGCAGGAGATGATCTTCAGGGGGACGGACACCACTGCCATCCTGACCGAATGGGTGCTAGCCGAGCTCGTTGTGCATCCAGACATCCAGCGCAAGCTCCACCTTGAATTGGATGCTACTCTTGGCGCCGAGGACGTAAGGGACGACCATGTTCACAGGTTGACTTACTTGCAAGCAGTGGTCAAGGAGACGCTGAGGCTTCACCCCCCAGGCCCCCTGTTGTCGTGGTCTCGCCTCTGTACGCAAGACACCACCATCGCCGGCGGCCATCATGTTCCCAAAGGTACCAACGCCATGGTGAACATGTGGGCCATAACGCATGACTCCACCATCTGGACTCAGCCCCACCGCTTCTTGCCCGAGAGGTTCATGGCCGGAGCCGGCGGAGCCGACATGGATGTCAAAGGGAGCGATCTCCGCCTAGCGCCATTCGGTTCTGGGCGGCGTGTTTGTCCCGGACGAGCACTTGGCCTCGCCACTGTGCACCTGTGGGTTGCCCGGCTGCTGCAGAAGTTCGAGTGGCTGGCCTGCACCGACCATCCCGTGGAGCTACAGGAAGTCCTCAAGCTCTCCGCTGAGATGGCCAAGCCTTTGAGAGCATGCCCGGTCCCCAGGCGTCCAATGTAAGCATGTTTGAAAAAGATGGAGGACTATAGCTACCTAGATTCCTCTTGTACAAACTATAAAGCTGCCAATAAAGGTAGATAGATGAGTCACACAAGTTAAAGTGGAATGCATGTTTCGGAAGTCGATGTCGTCTAGAGCTGAACCGGAATCTTAGGCGACTCTGGTTTCCAAAAGTGGATGCCTTGATTCTCAAGTACCAGCTGTGAGCAAGCTCCTGCAGCTATACAGCAGACTAGCTAGAGATACCTGTCGTCTCTCGGAGGCATAGTGGAAAGATACAGATTGCCATGCCACGTCTTGTATCGAGTAACAGTGCAACGAAAGCGAACACTCAACTTTGCAGCTCGTAGAATAGCTCTGTTGTAGCTCTGAGACAGCAGTTGGGAACCTCTGCCTCTCCCGCTGCTTCCAACCTGCACATGTTCTTCGTGGTAAATCCTATGCCTACTCAGTCCGTCATATGAGATACACTCGCTTCGCTCTAGCTGTTCTTGTCTTAAGAATATATGCGTCACCAGCATCCAGACAAGTAACAGTCGTTTACTGCTTCACCTTGGAGCTCGTAAGACTTGCTGTGTCTGCGCTAACAAGGGCATTAATCCAGCAGCTCCTGTACAAGAACAATGACTTGCACCTAACCTCAGCATTGTCGGATTTTTCCACGGAAGAGATTGGACCGCTTCAAAAGCAGAGCAGTGCACCTGACCTTGAATCCTAGGAATTCTAGGTAGGGGCGAGACGACTCTCCCTGTATGGCTAGATAGAGCTATCAACAGAGACACGAATCTGACTACGCAACCATCACAAGAATCACTCAGTCTGTCTGTCTGGTAAAAATTTCAACAAGTCCGTGATGCGCTCGCTCTTTTACAGCTCCGCAACGTAGGCCCTCTTAGATAGTACACAAACGCCATGCCAGGTCTATGCCACCCTGCCCCACAAGCACGAAACCGTTGGCCACGCTCACAAAAGCTTTTCGTCACGCTGATTTTTACCTGGACTGCAAATATCTCTCCAAGTACGCTTCAATTCCAGAAACCTCCTCTGCTTGCAGCTGTTTGGCAGCTTCCATGTTTCCCAGCAGGTCTTGCAGATCACCCATCAACTTGCGCACAATGTCGAAGTTTGACGAACCTTTCTCCAGAAACTGCAGGTCCTCGAACTTCCGCTTCCGTTTCTCCTCTGCTTCGAGCAGTTGTAGCTTGGATTTCTTGCCCACGTACTCTTGTTCCACCTTGACGCATTTAGCCAGAACAATACGCTGCAATCCTTCGGCCTCGCGGGAAGCTTCATCCGCACGCGCTTGAAACATTTTCGCCTCTGCTTGTTTGATACGGACAATGCTCTCCAGCTCTTCTATCTCGGCTTTCTTCCTGGCTCTTTCGTATTGCATTTCAGCAGCATCTGTACGCTTCTCCTCCAACACGCGGTCATATGTCTGAAGTGCCAAAGTCGCTCTCTCCAATACTGTGTTTGGATCAATACGAGCAGCACCTGCTGTCGCGTGCTCGTCATCTTCCAGGAGGGAGACGTTTTTACTATCTGGAAAATCAGCTCTAAGAAATAGAAAGTAAAATAGACAAAATACGTACCTTCAAAGAATCTAAGCATGGCATTGCAGGCCTCCGCTACGTCTAGGTTGTTGCTCTCAAGTTTGGCTATCATCTGGCCGGCTCTTCGGCACAGTTGTCTCCCTCTCAAATCTTCGCTGCCCTGAAACATTCGCCTCGCACAATCCAGCTCCTTGACGAGTACTCCTCGGTTCCACGACTTGGCACAAGAGGCAAAAACCTCTTTCACAAATCCAAAAAGTTCGGACGTGTGGCCGCATGCGATGCAGTGGAACTGCATCTCTGAAGTCCCTGGTGTCGTCCCCGGCTTAATGTACATCTTTCTCAGCCCGCAGTCGGTATGGCACCAGTGAATACAGTAGTCACAGCCCACCCAGCTGCAAGTGCTGTGCGCCGTGTCGAACTTCGAGCACACGACGCACATGCACGCGTTGCAAAACCCGTTCTTTTGGGTGCATATCTTGCACTCACAGTTGTCGACAGGAAGCTGGCTGAGGCACTGGACATTACGGCATCGAGAGTGGAGCAAGACCTCGACGAGAAGTTTTAGCTGGTTGTCTTGCAGGAGGAACGCTGGGTTTCCCGTCTTAACAGCAACCAAGATCTCAACCTGAGTACGGTGTGACTTGTGAAGAGCGTCCGACGACAAGTCATTCCTGGTTTGTAGAATTCTTTGCAGCTGTAAAAACTCTTCTCTCCGGTCACTGCTTTCCACCAGGTCCTTCGCCGACGCCTTTAGCCCGTCCAGCACATCTCGGGGTAAGTTTCGCATCTTTTCCGCTACCACTAGAACCGGATCAGCAACCACCTCACGAACAGTGACTCGCAAAGTCGCCGACGCCCTGTCCCGCTCAAACGACCGTTCCCAGGATCCCACACTCTGGGAAAGGCCGCTGGACTTCACCTGTTTCCTGTGCATGCTGCCTTTGGGACGAGAATGGTGAGGAAAATGGTTACTTTCCGACACCGCTTTTCCCTTGAAGGGGTGGTGACGAGCGTAGTCCCCAAACTCCATCTTTCTGCTGCCTAGACCAGCTGAATACGAGGAGGCTTCCGGACGCACGGGCTGGCTTGCACTGGAGAACTCCTGATAGTCGTGTGAATTGTGCGTGAGCGAGCAGCTGGGGTTGTGAGTAAACGGGTGAGAACAGGAGAGCGATAGCGAAGTGGTAACGCCATGAGAAAAGGTTTCTGCTTGGGACATAGACTGGAAGCTCTTGTTCCTGTTGAGTGCACGATGCGAGTTGGACAATCCCAGCGACAACGACGTGTCAGGTTCCGCCTGTGGCAGCTTTGAGTCCTCGGGAACAACTGGCACATTGTCTTCAGGCACCACCATCGCTTGGCGTTCGTCGGGCACTCCCTCCTCTTGAGGAGCATCAGCACCGGCGTCGTGATTTCCCAAGCTCTCCGCCATAGCTTGCACGGCCTCTTGATTGACAACATCTTCGGTGGCAGTGTTGTCTTGGGAAGCAAGCGCTACCTTGTCTTGTAACTTGCCTTCCTCTCGCTCGTCAGCCTCCTGCTTCCCAGCTTGTGTCTCACGGCCTTCCCCTTCAGTCTTGTCCGCGTCTACCGGATTAGCCACGGGCAGATGATCCTGTTGGTCGTCGTTCATGGCCACCTTATCTAGCTGGGGAGGCTTTGCGTCAACCTCCTCGTCTCTCCTCTGGCATCGACTAGCTCTGCTTGTTCGCAACCTTTTCAAATGCTTGGACGTGTCGCTTCTTGGCGTGTCAGCAGCAGAAACTTGCGCATTGTCCTTTTCAGCCCCTGGAGCAAACCTCTTGACTCGCTTCTTCTCTCTGTCTGTTCGATGACCCTTGGGAATCTTGGTGTCAAACTCGTACCTCACCTCCTTGTCCCCCGAGCAAGGGGATGGCGAATGCCGCTCGCCGCTGCATCTCTTGTCCCCGTTTCTTTGGGCAACTCTGGCGGAATCCTTGGATTTGGAGGGATTGCCCAGGCTGCTCGACATGTTGCTATGTGAACACGCACAACAAGGTACCTGCAATTCGCGGATCCAACAGCGCCACAGGGATGGAATCAGCACCTCCTAGCCATTCTCTGGATGCTCCGCCCTGCGCCTCGTCTGCCCCACAACCCTAATCAGTCTCTCTCTCACCTCCGCACACAAGCACGACACCTAGTCAAAGCGCGAGTGCTCCGACACTTTTGCGACCGCGGTTCGATTCTCCTCGCTCTCCTCCGAGTCAACGCAGGTTAAGTAAATGGAGAAATTTGTGCTAGGTAAGTAGCAGCTAAGTTAGATTTGCCAGCTGAAAAGCAACACAACCACAGTAACTTCTAGCTAGGAGGGCCAGCAAAACATTCTTGAACAATCTGGGAGCTGCAGTGCAACTCTTTGATCCTCTCCGTGACGCGTGGCGGTCGATCCGGTACCCATGAGTTCTCTTCCCATTGGCGGAGAAAGCCGTATATAAATGCTCCCCACCTTTCCTTGGGAACCATCTCCGGCTGGCCGGCAGCTCTCTCTGCTTTTCTCTTTATCCTTTCCTTGTCAATTGGGTCACCGGGAGAGAGAGAGAGAGAGAGAGAGAGAGAGAGATCCTTTACTTGTCAATATAGAGTCACGGGGGAGAGAGAGAGCGAGACAAGAGTGAGAGAGGATGGCTTCTTACGCCAAGCACAGAGGCCTCGCGGCGCCGCTCCTGGGGGTGAACTTGGTCCTCTACATCATCCTGCTGGGGCTGGCGAGCTGGGCATTGGACGAGCAGCTGGATGGGCATTTGGCGGGAGGTAAGAAACTCGCAATCGCTTGAAAACCAGGCTTTGAAAGAATGCAAAACGTGGGCATGCGCAGGGAACCAAGCCACTTCCGACCTCATCCGCTTCTCTTTGATCGCTGGAGTGGTGGGCATCGCGTCCGTCCTGGTGGGTCTCTTCCATCTCAAGCACCGGCGGAGCGAGAGCCACGGCGGCGCAGGATCGGCGGCGGTCATTGCCCTCCTTCTCACGCTCCTCGCCTTCGGGTAAGAAAGATGGAACTGCCATTTGATTTTTGAGCCGAGCCGAGCGGGATTTCTGTTTTGCAGCGTCGCTTGCAAGCAGGTTCATGTGGGCTACATCTACTCTGACAGACTGGTAAGAGCAATGCAGCGGGGACCCGTTATCATCCGTTTTACTTTTGTCTTTGTGAGCAGAAAGCGCTCGAGGCGTTTGCGATTGTGGTGGCAGCCACGCAGCTGCTCTACGTGCTGCTCATGTATTTTGCGGACGAGTGAGCTCGCGAGCCATGGATTCCAACGACAAACTCTCCGGGGTCACCCGGATGGCTTTGTAATTGTTTGTATTATAGATATAATTACAATCTTCTGGTGTGGTGTTTCTGATTTGTGAAGGAAGACGTTACTGGCACTCGGAATATTCCTGCCTTTTCAAATTTTTAAAGTCCACCCCCTCTCTCTCTTTCTGTGTGTGTGTGTGTGTCTGTCTGCGGGTTCCGTTGTATCTCTGTGTTTGTGCGCGCTGTGCTCTCCTTGGTGAATGGTATGGCTGCCTCCAAATGAGCATCTCTGCCCCCACCCCCGCGGGGCTTTTGGGACGGGCTCGTCCGCGAGCCGAGGAGTGAGGACGCCGTCTCCGATGCCTTGCACGCGCTGGAAAGCGACACTAAGTATGTAGCTTAGAAGGGTAGCAAAGGTGTTATGCTTGGGCACCGCGAGACTAGTTAGAAAGAAAACCTTCCACTGCCACCGTGCTCGCTACCTTTCCCTCGTATATATATTTATCACTGGCTGGCAAGCAAAGAGAGCTCAGCTCTTCGGCCGCAGTGCTGCGCCCCATGCCCTTCGCATTTACGAGGAGTAAATGCTACTGTGTTGTATGTGTGCGCACATATCCCTCCCTGATTCAAATCCTGCGCATGGTCAGCGTCGCAGTCCAACTTGGGGCCGCACACCTCTCCTAGGCTTTGGGTTGTTTGCTCCTTTGTTCCTGATCGCGCGTTAAAGCAAGCGGGATATTTGTTAGTTTGCAAACTGTCGCGCTTTCTGGAAGAGCCAGGACGATTCGTACGCTGGAATTCGTCGCATTACTCACGGGCCGCCGCCCGGACGGAGAGAGCTGCCTGCTGCATCTTAGAAAGGACGTTGCCAATTGAATGGCTCAATCCAGCATCCATCCATCCATCTCTCTCTCCCATTCTAAAAGACAAGAAGAAAGAATATCCTCTCCTTCAAGGAAGAATGGTTACAAATGCAAACATGATTGAGGAGAGATTTTTGTATCGGGCTGCTTGGCAGCGGTGCCGATTCTCTTGCTACACTATCCCAACGGAGGTCCAAATCCCTGGCCTTGTTTATACGATCATCACTTCCTACTTAATAGTAATATACTTGCTAGTTGTTGACCAGCACAATAAGATATAGGTTGTAGTTGTTCAGCTGTCCAGGACTCACAAAACCAAAGTTTAGCACTACCAGTAGTTTTAGTGACTGCTGGCAAGCCTAAAAGCTAAAATCAATGCCTTGAGTGGAAGCAAGCGAGCAAGCAAGGGGCAGTTTAAAAATTTATCAAGAGAAATGCAGTGTGGCTGACAGTTACCCTAATGCGCTCCATCATTACATCATCCAGCACTTTTTTCTGTTTTTATAAATTGAGAGGAAAGGAATGGTTGCATGCTAGAAAAGAGGGTCGTCCTTGTTGCTTCTTCTCTTGCAACCTAAATGGAAGTGCTATGGAGGAGCAGGACATGGAGGGGGCCTCTTTTCAACCTCTTGACAACACCGGGAACAAGAGCAGTGGTAGCCGTCCGGTACGGTTTCTGATTCTTTCATAGCATGGGAGGCGGGCGGATCCTTGTCAATCCTCACTCTCAGGTGCTCTCCAAGAAGAAGCACCAGTCGTCCAGCCACAGCAACAGCAGCAGCAGCAGTAGCAGTGATGGTGGCGGCGGCGGCAGCAGCAGCAAGCACGCTAAGAATCGAGTGAGTAGCAGCAGTATTAGCGGCGGCAGTAGCAAGAAAGATCATCCCGCGCGATCATGGCCCCAAGGTGCTCTGCAAGTGGTTGAAGCCCAGCTTGGCCTCCTCTCTGCCTCCTCCACCGGGGATGATTTCCAGCAGCAGCAGCAGCGGCAGGAAGAGCAGCAGCCAGCAGCGGGTGACGATCAATCGCCATCGCCGAAAAGGACGAGATGGGGCGGCGATGACGAAGACGACGACGACAGGTCACGGGTGCACGTCGATCTTCAACCCCAGCAGCAGGCTCTTCCTTACGGCTGGGAGCAATTCCTCGACATCAATGTAAGTCCTCTGCTCCTCCAATTTCTGTCCCCTCTCACACATTGCGCTCCTTGCATCCATCCAGACAGGGGAAGTCTACTACATCGACTGGAGCACTTGCAAGCGGACTTGCAGGGACCCCAGAGAGGTGGCTCGCCTCGCCGATGATAAAATCCGAGCTCTCAGGCAAGTTCGCAGCTTCCAGCAGCAGGAGCAAGAGCAAGAGCACGGCGTTGTTAGTCGCAGCCACACATCTTCAGCGCGGCCAGCAGCAGGGGCAGCACCATCCTTCTCTTCCTCGTCGTCCGCCTCTGCCGTCTTTCCCCCTCAACCATACCACCCTTCCTCGGAAGACGAAGAGCAAGACCACCAGAACGAGGCCTCGTCATCGCAAGCACAAAGACGAGGCGGCAGGGGGCATGAAAATGTCATGGTTGCGCTTGGCTGCCACCGCTGTTTGACGTACTTCATGCTGCCCAGACAAGATCCCGTCTGCCCAAGCTGTGGAGCTCGTCTCCAGGTGAAGCATTGAAACGCTTTCCTTTTTTTTTGTTCAGATAGGCTTCCATTCCTTCTGTTTGTTCCTCCCGAATTCAATGCTGAGGTCCCTTCCTTGGGAAACTCCAGTCACACGGGACATAATACGACACACACAAACACACGCACACTTTTAACGCAGCTTTCTTTGAATGACAATCGTATCACCACAGTGATAAGTCCATGTTCCAGCAGTCACCTGAGCAAAAAAATCTCAACCAAGACTACTTAGTATTACAGATAGCAAGAGAAGAACGAATGGAAGCCGGCAGATATGGAGGGGGGCTTATCTATTCTTTGAGCACACTAGGTGTATCGAGGCACTTAAAACTTCCCGTGGTCTTGTTTTTGAGCTGCACGCCGCGGCCGCTGTCGAGGTGTCGGGAATCGCTGGGCCTCTCAGCAAAAAGAATTCTAAGGTGAATCTTAGAGCTCCAGTTACAAGAAATAGTCTGGCGTTCTTCTCGTCACGTCTGGTTCACCCCGCCTTGGAGCAGGCTCAAACTGTAAGATACACAAGCTCAGAACAAAGAAGAAAGATCGACAACTATACCTACCTGAATAAATGTATGGCCCATGTTGTCATCTACTTCCAAAATCGACGCCATATTTCCTGTGCCAAGACCAAAAACTCAACACGGCCTAAAACACTTCTTAGAAACTTACCGCAACGATAGCAATAATTTGGCGCACTGAAAATAGTGACTACTTTGTGCTCCTGCAAAAGTTGACAACGACAGTAGCAATTGTCATCCCAATCATCAATCCATAAACGACTTACATGACCCCAGTTGTAACCTTCCATCACTAGTTGATGGGCCCTTGCAACCAATTTTAAGTTGTTAGTATGGTTGAATTGTTCTGAGATATCCTGCAATGACAATGCACCTTCAGGCACACACCACACAATAGCAAAACCCCGGCTTACATGTCCAAAAGTATATCCCGCGCCACGAGGAGAAATTCCCCAGCCGCAACGGTCATCCGGGTCCGACCATAGTAAGTCGCACATCGGGCCTTCATGGGGAACTTCTTGAACCCGGTCAAGCTGCCTCACGTGATCTAGTGTATCTATCGAAGGGGAAAGCCCTCCGTGCAAACAAAAGATTTCCGACTCTACCTGTCACGTAGAGAAGCAGAAAGTTTAAACCGTGAGCGTCGACGCTTTCACATACCAATGCCGTCAAAGGAAAGTAGTCAAAAAGATCTGTGAAGATCTTCCAAACATTCGCATTCCCATACCTGACAAAAAAAAAAAAAAAAAAAAAAAAAAAACAAAGAACATGAGAAACGACCGCATATACATGATACATGAATGATCCAACACTTACTTTCGCAGGCACTCGTCATAAAAACCGTAAACTTGCGTAATCTGTGTCGCATGGCAAGAACATAACAGTCAATGTCCAAGGCTAGCTTAAATAACTGTCGTACCAACCTGCCGACTTTCGTGATTCCCTCGTAAAATGGTGATTCGGTCTGGATACCGGACCTTCAACGCGACCAAAAGCTGCATAGCAGAACGAAGAACCGAGTCAGCTTGAATGTAAATGACAAGAGGAGAACTCACAGTTGCAGTCTCGACGGAGTAGTACCCACGATCCACATAATCGCCCATAAACAAGTAGTTTGTATCTGGACACTACAAAGACAGAGATTAAAGATCAAACCTGGTCAGTAAGGTGGAAAACTCAGGACTTGAAACGCACACAACGACTCCGAGGGTGTAGAAGGAAAACATATACACACTCACCTTGCCACCGATTCTAAAGAGCTCTGCGAGGTCGTGGAACTGGCCGTGTATGTCTCCACAAATTGTGACAGGACATTTGACTGGCTGCTCAACATTTTTGTGAAACAAGTGAGACCACCAAAGCAGCTCAGCTTACCTGCACATTGTTCTCTTCCATCAAAATTTCTTTGGCCTTCTCACAGAGGGCCTGCACCTGCAAAAAAACAGTGTTTTCAGAGACCTAAAAGACTGGAAGTGCAAGAAATGCTGGAGCTTAGGTCACACATTCGGACAAGAAAATGCGCAAAGGGGTTTTGCCCGAGAGGGAAGGAAATTTTACCTCGTGTTCTACCAGCGGCTTGCACTGCATCAGCTGCGCGATCTGTGCATCCAGCTGACCGTAGCCATTTGACGACACTGGCGCCACGTTCATCCTAGCGAGCGATGCCCCGCAAACAAAACCCTAAACAATGATTCTTCTAACCCTGGGCGGATCTAGGCAGGGCGAGGCGTTTGCCAAGCACGTAGGGCGCGACGCCGTCCGATGCGCATCCAGCGAGCCCTCGGATCGGGCCGTGGCGCCTATCTACCTATATCGATCCACAAAATGGGGGCTCCTAACAGATTCTCGCCTTTAAAAGCCCGTCTGTTTTAACGGAATCCCCTGCATTCTAGGGCTGGAGGCTCCGTGACTTGATCCTGGGCGTTGGCTCCTCCATCCGACGGACGTGAGCTCCCAGACCCCGTGAGCCTTGTCTCGCTAGGAATATCATCCGTCTATCGTCCCGGTTTGTGGTTTTGTGGCGTGGCTATGGCGACTTGCAGCGCGGGAGCTCTCGTCATCCGGTGCCCAGTGTCGGCGTCCCTATGCAAGGGATCGCCGGCGAGCTGCAAAGCCAAGGTTGGTGCTAGCCCCCAGGAATGGCTGGTGAAGAGATTGAGCAGAGCTTTCGACGGTGCTAGCTTGCGGAATGCGGCATTCGGGGCTCTCAACTTGGCCACGCTCAGCTTGCCCGCGGCGCTTGCCTTGGCCGCCGAGGAAAAGAAGGAGCCCGGCAAACTCTTCGACTTCGACGCCACGCTGCCCATCATCGTCGCCGAGTTCCTGTTCCTCATGGTGGCTCTGGACAAGATCTGGTTCACCCCCGTCGGCAAAATCATGGACGAGCGGGACGAGATGATCCGCAACAAGCTGGAGAGCGTCAAGGACAACTCGGAGGAGATTAAGAAGCTCCAAGACGAAGCCGAGGCGTTGATTCAGGCGGCCAGAGCCGAGACCACCGCCGCACTGAACAAGATGAAGAAGGAGACCGCCGCGGAGCTGGAGGCCAAACTGCAAAAATCAAGGGAGCGAATCGAGCAGGAGCTGGCTCAAGCTCTCGCCAACTTGGAAGAGCAAAAGCAGGAGACGCTCAAGAGCCTGGAGACGCAAGTGCAGGAGCTCAGCGACAAGATCGTGGAGAAGGTCCTTCCGGTCAAGGCCAAATAGTGCTCTCCGCTTTCACTGCCTCTGTGGCGCTGCACATATCTCCCATAGCTCCAAGTCTGTACCGCGATCGTATTCCATAATGTATTTTGGGACCGTGAAATCATCCAAACGTTTGCCGAGGAATGCAGCACTGGTGTTTTCCCCTGCACCATCCTAGATCAGGCTGACGAGGAACGACCAGATGAGAATACCTTCTACGCTCAGGTGTCCAACAAAGTTTGCATAGCCATTGGCTACCACGTCCAGCGCGTCCATGGAAAAATTGTAGCGCTTCTCAAGTCCAAGGTAGAGTGCCTGTGCACCAGGTGGAGTGAGAAGGAACTCGAGAGCTTTAAGGTAGGACTTTGGCTCAACTTTGTTTGATCCAGGAAGGAGCATCTTTGACACAGCTCGGAAGAAAGCATCGGTCAAGTCGTCGCTGTAGATGACATCTGCGGCCAGAAAGATGGTGGCGTCCTCCACATCCTTGAGATCCTGTTGGCTCCAAAGGTACGGAGAGCTCGTCCTGTGGAGTAAAGCAAGCGTCAAGCGGATTGAAAGAACAATTGGGGAACACAAACTCACGCTGCCTGTTGCATGTTTGTCGTCCGGGGTGGCCAGCCTTCCTCCCAATCCAGCTCTCGCACTCTAACGCCGGACTCGCCCCGAAGAAAGGACTCGCGGTTTGCAAAAACGTTCCGAGAGCAGTTGTCAAGCACATCCGCACCCCTGTCCGTCAGGAAAACGAGCTTGGCATGGCGTGCAAGGGTAATGCCTGCTAGTCCTGCAGATGGGGAAACAAATTCACACACGCAGGAAGGAAGCACCTTTACCTGTCCCGCACCCGAATTCCAGAGCCGTGACATTCTCAAAGTCGGAGGTGTTCTTGCACTTGTGGATTATAAAGTCGGCAAGGAGTAGTGCTCCTCTCCACACCTGAGGAGGCATCCGGAATTCATCCACACTGCAAGCTTAGGCGCGCCCGCTGTACCTGCAAACCTACTAGAGGGATGGCGGTGGCCATGTTGTGATATATCAGTATGGACTCTCTCGGCCTGTCTGCACAGTCCCTTTAGATAGCACTCAACACTCCCGGAACTTGGAAAGGTTACCTGGAACCAAAACTGCTGTGCTTCTCCGAGCGACAATGAGATCACCATCGTCGTCCACTCCACTCGTTGTATCCACTTGATGCGCCGCCGAGCTGCGCCCTTGAGCCGATGGAACTTTGTCACTGTCTGCGTAGGAAGATATTTGGGTGGACGATCCGAGCCCAGAGAGTGTACCTGACTTGGCGCTGCTGATTGTGAAGCAGGACACGACGCATCCAGATCCGCATTCCAGATGCACCTCGCTCAAAACCTCCATTTCATAAGCTAGGGCAAATTGACAAGAACTTAGTCTTAAAAGATACTGGTTGCCATGATCAAGGCTCAGCTAGGACTAAAGAAGAAGATGATTGTGAGTGGAAAAAGGGCAAGCAATTCGGCTAGTGACAAGGATCCACGTGTCAGCCTGACGTTTTCAGACACAGCCGACCGTTCCGGGGGGTTTTTCAAACCATGAGGTTGACCTAAAGAGGAGGCGGTGCCACAGGGGACCCTCTTTTCCTGTACGCAGCTAGGTAGCCAAGGGAAAGTGGTGTGAGGCGCCCAAGATGGCGATTCTTGGCCAGCAGCTGCTGCTGGGATTGGTGGCGATGGTGGCGGTGGTGGCGTGGATGGGCGTGTCAGAGGCAGCGCTCGGGGTGAACTATGGCACAATGTCGTCGCACCTTTTGCCCCCAAAGGTTGTGGCGCGGCTGCTCAGGGCCAACAACATCACCCGGGTGAAGCTGTTCGATGCGGATTTCGCAATGGTGAGGGCGTTCGCAGGTACTGACATCGAGGTCATGGTTGCAATCCCCAATGACATGCTTGAAATGATGGCCACTAGCACCGACGCCGCGGAGAGGTGGGTCAAGCGCAATGTCACCCGCTTCTTGATCGATGGTGGCGTCAAGATCAAGTGAGTCCTTTCTTGCTCGCAGCTGACGAGCGCGGTGGAGCTGACATCTTTGTTGTTTGCTTGCCTTGCCGCAGGTACGTGGCGGTGGGCAACGAGCCTTTCCTCACGGCTTACAACGGGAGCTTCATAAGCTCCACTCTGCCGGCGGCGGTGAACATCCACCAGGCGCTGGTGAAGCACAAGGTGGCCGACGAGATCAAGGTCACGGTTCCGCTCAACGCCGACGTGCTGAGTAATGGCGGAGTGAACGTCCCGTCGGCGGGCATTTTCCGGCCCGACATCCAGGACATCATGTCCCAGCTGGTGGCATTCCTCGATCAGAACCAGTGCCCCTTCACCATCAACCTCTACCCCTTCCTCAGCCTGCAGCAGGATGCAAACTTCCCGCGAGAGTTCGCCTTCTTCGACGGGGCCCTGCCACCGACAGTCGACGGCGCTCTTTCCTACACCAACGTCTTCGACGCGTCGTATGATCTCCTGGTATCGGCGCTGCGGAAGAACGGGTTCGGCAACGTCAGCATTCTGGTCGGGGAGGTGGGGTGGCCGACGGATGGCGATCCGAATGCCAACATGGCCAGCGCGCAGAGGTTCTACCGCGGCCTGGCCACGCACGTCGGCCGCGGGACTCCGCTGTCCCCGCGGCCGCTGGACGTGTACCTCTTCTCGCTCACGGACGAGGACCAGAAGAGCATCGCGCCGGGGAACTTTGAGCGGCACTGGGGGATCTACACTTTCGATGGCCAGGCCAAGTACCAGTTGGACCTGAGCGGGAGCGGATCCATCGCGAGCCTGGTGAATGCCCCCGGCGTGGACTACTTGCCGCGCAAGTGGTGTGTTTTGGATCCGGCGGCGGACAGGACGCGGCTGGGCGACAATGTGGCCTACGCTTGCATGTACGCCGACTGCACGTCGCTCATGTATGGCGGCTCCTGCAATGGCATCGGTGGCGACGGCAATGCGTCGTATGCCTTCAACAGCTACTACCAGCTCAAGGGCCAGATGGGGAACAGCTGCTACTTCGATGGCCTCGGCAAAGTCACGGACGTGGATCCGTCGCAAGGGGATTGCAAGTTTAGGATTGGGATTGTGACGGCCGCGTCTCCTCCTCCCGGGTTGTCGGCGGCATCGTCACTGTTGGCCGCCTCCCTGGCGTTTCTCTTCTTGCTTTTCTAAGTAGGCCTCCGGCGACCGCGACGAGTTTGTTCTAGGTAGTATGATTCATCCGCGACGACGACGACGACGACGACGACGACGTGTACAGCCGCAGTTTTCATAATTGTATACCGTATTTTAAGTTTTTGGAAGTCGTCCCTCCATGGTGCGCGTACTTGAAACTGATCACAAGAGAGGGGATGGATGCGAGGCAAATTTAGGGCATATATGTCTGGCCGCGTTTGCAGCGTTGTGCCGCTCTGCACGCCACGCGGCGGGCAGCTGCAGCAATGTAGGTTGCTGCCGCAGCCTCCAATTCTCACTCTCGTCCACAGGCAGCGAGCGTCTTCATCGGCGCGTGTCTCTCAGGCGGATTTGCTGGTCCTGTGCAAGCAAGACAAGACATCAAACTACAAGGTAGCTCTCTTCTACCGCAACTTTGCTTCTTGTTATATTTTCTTTCTTCTATTGTCAAAAGGAAACTCGATTCACTAAGCTACTAGCATGCATTTCGTTGGGTGTCGCCATGGGAGCTCTCGGATTTCCGGGCCGTATCAAGGCAAGGGACCACCTGGCTTATGCTGCTACAGCGGAGGTAGGCTTGCTTTTCATCGCATTAGCATGTATGACACAGATCCTTGCGAAGAACAGATAGTGATTACTACGGCGCCTGTTCAAGCTCCAAATCAGATTGCTACGCTGAAAGACAAAGCCATGTACGCGCTGGATTATTTCTTCGCCACGAAACCGGCTGGAAAGGTGAGACTTTTTAAAAAATCTCGTTAACCTCGCTGTTTTCGTGCTAACGCAGCGTCTTTCTTTGTAGCTAGGCCATCATGCTCATTGCCATATGCGCGCTCATGACGGCTCTCGGTGGTATGCATGACAAGTTAGATAGATATGCATGTCTTCTAGTTGGAGATAATGTTTTAGTGTGCAGGTTTTCTCTATTTCCAATTTGCAATTCCACAGACATCCAAGGACTTGCCAGAGTCATTCTGGACGGCCTGGACGTTCATTGCAGACTCCGGTGCTCATGCGAGCGAGGTGACAACGTTTGCTTTCGCCTTGCGTGCGTTGTTCCTCACTCTTTAGTGCACTCAGGACACTTTCCGTAAGAGACTTGTCGCGGTTCCGATCAGCATAGGGGGAATGTTTTTCTTCGCGCTGCTGGTCGGGCTGATGACCGATGCCGTTGCCAGTAAAGTGGACCAGTTGAGTAAAGGAGAGAGTAGAGTACTTGAGGAGAACCACACGCTGATTATCGGTGAGTCAAGCCTATTACGTTTACTGTTTACTTCAACAAGCTTTAACGATTCTAGGATGGACGAAGAAAACAATACCACTAGTGAAGGAGCTCGCGATAGCAAATAAAACTCGGGGAAACAAGAGAAGCATCGTCATTTTAGGAGATGCTCCAAAAGAGGAGATGGATGGTGATTTAAAGCAGAACCTTCCTCTGCCTGATCGGTTCGGGACGAAAGTGAGCTTCTAGTTATTGTATTTGACAATTTCTCCGGATTTCTTTCACATTCACATCAGGTGGTTACCAGGAGTGGATCTGCTGCATCGATAGATGATTTAAAGCTATGCTCTGCATCCTTGGCGAGAACCATTGTCGTTTTGTCACCCGCATTGAGCCCGCTAAAAGCAGATGCTATTGTAAGTATGTTGCAAGCTTCAAGTGTATTTCGTTGAAAACGTTTACTGCAATGCAGGTTATCCAGACATGCATTTTACTTGCAAACTCTCCAGAGATACGTGCTGACATAATTGCAGAACTGGCAGAACTTGATCATGTGTCTGAATTGCAAGGAATTATTGGCACCCTTCTTCCTTTCGGCCAGTCTAAGATGCTGAAGGCATCTACGAGCCCTTACATGAGGTATTTAAGCTGATTACAGAGCTCTAACTGCCATCTGAAAGTATGGTTGCGCAGACGACGGAAAATGGTGCCGGTTGCTACGGGTGACATGGCTTTACGAATAATGGTGAAACGGGCACTTGAACCAGGAACTGTAGAAGTTTTGAAAGAGCTTTTACAGTTTGAAGGTTGCGAATTCCGTCTTAAATATTGGTACTGTGTTTGGAATACTTTTTTGCGGTTCACAAACTTGTCTGTAGGCCGGAGCTCGTGGGGAGGAAATTTTCAGAAATGATTTTTCTTTTTCCGGATGCTATCCCTTGCGGTTTGAGGAAGACACTTCCGTCTGGCCAGAGCTGTACACTTGTAAATCCTCCACCAGAAACTGTCATCGAGGTTGGATCTGTGCTGGATGGTTTTGATGCTAATCATCTAAAATGTGTGAAGGAAGGTGATAGGTTGCTGGTGATTTCAGAGAACGATGAAAGCTACAAGCCTGCTGCAACATTGTACGTGCCTCCCCATGTACCGAGCTTGACTACAAAGGCCAGCCACAAGAAGCCGAGTCTCAACGTGCTTATTGTTGGATGGAGAAACGACCTTGACGACGTGCTGCGTCTGATAGATTCGTCTGTTTCAAGAGGTAAGACTTTTGTTTTAAAGCCCATGTATAAAAATGGAGGCTTTGTTGTGCAGGGAGTCAAGTCACTGTCCTCTCAATTGTAAAACCGCAGGAGCTGCTTGAGGACGATTTCAAGCTGAAACATGCGAGCATTCGACATAGTAAGCCCATCTGAGATCCACTTTGTCTCTAACATGCCTCTCTCTCAGTATACGGAGATCCATTGTCTCTTAAAGTTCTTAAAGAGTTGCCGGTAGAAGCTTTTGACAAAGTTATAATATTGATGGATGAAGACAAGGGTCCGGATCTCAATAACACGGCAGTAACCGCGATGTTCATCCGCCATATACAGGTTTGGTGTTATCCTTCTTATTCAGCTAGCTCAGTTTTCTTTTTCTGTCTTCGTGTGGAATCAGATTGAAAGAGGCCGAAAGGACTCGACAATTGTGGCCGAGTTACCGACGTTGGAAGATACTGCACTCCAGGAAGTGCATGGTGCGTGGTTGGACGATACAGTCGATCCAGATTACCTTCAAGCCATGGTTCTTGCCAACCTTGCCGAGGACGTGGACGTGGGATCCGTCCTGGACAAGGTCGTGGGGGATTCGCAGAACACAATGGTGCTACAGCAGGTGACGAGCTACCTCCAGGGCGATGTCGAATCAGAGAAACTCACTTTCTGGGAACTGCAAGCTCGAGCGGTCCAGAAAGGGGAGATTATAGTTGCTCACAAATGCGCAGCTAATGGGAACCAGTGGGTGACGAATCCTCCCAACAAGTCGGAGAAGCTAGCTTGGGTGGCGGGCGACGAGCTCCTTGTTCTTCCAAGAGCTTCTTCCTGAGCGTAAGAACATATGCCGTGTTTGGTAATGTAATTGCATTACATTGTGGTCATAAGTTGCTAGGTACCAAGGCTTTGTTTCAATACCGGCATGGCAGTAGCAACATCCTCGTGTGGATGCTTGCTGCCATCTCGTGCTCTCAACCATTCTGTCCGAACCAGGGGCAGTAGAGCCGTCTTTCTTCGTAGAGTAGAGTGGTCAGTCGTTTTGAGGCCGATGCGCTCACCAGTGCTTGTGCATTGCAGCAGTAATGCAGCGGAGTCTACAGCAGAACCGAAGCCAAATGACGATGAGGAAAATGAAGATGACGATGATGATAAGAAGGCGTTTGAAAGGCTGGAGCAGTATATCGAGCTAAATCGCGGGTCTTGGAGTGGCACATTCACGGTATGGTTGTTTTTTGTTTCAGCTCTAAAGTTTTAATTGTTGGGCAGTAGCAATACGACTGTCTCGGCAAGGTGCTAGCGTGCATTCCCATCAAGCTGAGAGCGAATGTTTACGGCAAAGGGGAGCACCTTGCTCTCTACCAAACGTAAGCGCCATGGCTATGGCCCAATTGCTTATGAACTTATCGTTTATTATCTTTGCATTTCTAGTCTTTGCGTGAAGCAAGCAGAGTCGTCGACATCGTTCTCTGGGGATGCTGAGGATGTACAATGGCTTGAATTCAATCTTGCAGATTTAGATTCGGTGACAATCAACCAGCGCCACCGGGTAAGCTCAAGGCTTGAAAGTGCTGAGTAAACTAGAGGCTTGTTTGGATCACAGGTTGGATACTTTGGCGACGAGAAAGCATACTGTCTGTCGCATTTGACTGCCAAGGTGCTGGACGTGGTGCTGAGAGCTGGAGTACTTGGAGAGAATGACGACGAGGAACAAGATTATTTCCCGTAAGTTCTCTAGATAAGTGATGGAAGTGACTGAGTCTTTGTTAAATCCGTGCAGGGGTGTCAAGCTTCCATGTCGGAGGCCAGCTCTGGTTAACGAGAGCTGTATGTTCTCGGCTAGTGGGAACAGCCGAGTTCGTGCATTCCACGTCTTGAATCCTCAAGGCCTGCTCGACATGATCGGTGTGTTCCACGAGAACAAAGACGGCGAAGCTCCGGAATCCATGCGGGTGAGCAAATCATTTCCTCCTTTTCTTCAGGAGTATTGATCTGGTTTGGTGCACAGAACGATTGTACCGGCTTGGATCGTTTGGTTGGAGTATGGTCTGGCCGCGCAGTCACCCAAAGAACAGGAATGTATGGTTCCACAATCGCTGAGGAGTACTTGGACTTTCGGGTTGACATGAATGACAAGAGCGAGATCACGCAGGTAAGATGGAGATGAGTTCGCTTTCTTTCTTTTCCCAACGAGAGCTTTCAGACAATCTCGAGCTCCAGCAGCTCGAATTCAGAGGCCGGGGCAACGAATAAGCAGACGAACCTGACAGTCAAAGGCATGGCGTCGGGTAACTTGGTGAGATTCACAGATGGTTTGCAGTCGACTCTCCTTCCCGGTGGAATGTGCATCACTGCTCCCATCAGTGTCGGGAATTGCGTTAAGAAGAGTCGCTCCTTCTTCCTCGAGTTTGCGTGGATCGAGTCGCCCAACCAGCGGCGACGGATCATTCGGACTTACGACACGACAGGGGTGGTAGTGTCCACAACTCTGTGCAACGAGAGCAAGCAAATTTAAGGCCGGCCCCTGTTTTAGGGTTCCTGAGATTTAGGGTATGTCGAAGTATGGTCTCCAGCTGCGTGGATCCAAAACGCTGGCCAAGCCGGCGGCAGCCAAGTCGGTTCCAGCAGTCTTCAACGATGACGACGACGACGATAATGTCGAGCGGGAGATTGCCCGCCAGGCTGCCAAGCAGAGGAGCATTCGAGAGGTACGAAATGTAGCACTCCATGAGGAATTTTGGAGGTTTACGCTGTGTGGGATCGAACAGGCGGAGAAGCAGCAGAAGCAAGCTTTAGAACAGGACCCAAGTGCTTTCGACTACGATGGAGTTTATGATAGTATGAAGTCGAGCCAAGCTCGTCCGGCACAACGAGCTGTGAAGCGTGAGGTATGGTGTTTGATTCTAATCCTATGAAAAGAATTCTTATCTTCTACTTGTGCTTCAGTCCAAATACATTCCGCACTTGATCGAGAAGGCTAAGCTCCGGGAACGGGAGCACGACATAATCTACGAGAAGCAGCTAGCCAAGGAACGAGCAAAGGAGGATCATTTGTATGGTGACAAAGAAAAATTCGTGACCTCCGCATACAAGAAGAAGCTCGCAGAGCAAGAGAAATGGTTGGCAGAAGAGCGCATGAGAGAGCTTAAGGAAACTGCGGAGGAGGTATGTTTATCGATTCTGCGATGTTGTTATTTGACAGTAACTTCCAGGTCACCAAGCGTGACGACCTCAGCGACTTCTACAGGAACCTGTCAAGGAACGTTGCCTTTGGTGGCGGCGGATCCCACCGTAATGCTGAAAGCTCTCAACGCGCAGATAGAGCTGAAAGCCAAGATCAACGCTCGGCGTCCGAGAATGCATCTCCGAACAACACCACAGAGGCTGCAGACCAAACTCCAGGAAACAAGGAGGAACGAGTCTCAAAAGACACTGACCAGGAAGAACTGCAAACGCAAGAGCCATCCGTCGAAGGACAAGAGCAGCAGGAGCAGCAGCAGCAGCAGGAGAGCGCGGAAGAATCCAGGAAACGGAAAGAAGTGGAAGCAAGGCAACGGTATCTGGCTCGGAAGAAGCTCAAGCCTGTCGCTTAAATGTGTCTGTATCAAAGTTTCGTAAGCTTTTACATGATCGCTGGTACGTCTTGAATGGCGGAACTGAGCATTGCCACGGGTTGATGGTTGACGGCCAAGTAGGCGGCGATGCCTGCAACGTAGCCAGCGAGCGCATAGCCACTCACCTGGACAAAAAAAAAAAAACGAAGTTGAGCCGAATGGAAACGCGAGAAAGAGGAGATCTCACCTTCTTAAAGTACCAGAAGAAGTCAGCCTTTTCCATCCCCATGAAAGCAACACCAGCTGCGGAGCCGATGATGAGCATTGAACCGCCAGTCCCGGCGCAGAAAGCGATGAGCTGCCACAGCTCCGAGTCCATGGGATAGGAGGACACGTCGTACATTCCCATGGTGGCTGCAACCAGTGGAACGTTGTCGATGATGGCTGATGCAAAACCGATGGCAGTAGCAATGAGTTCCACTCCCGGGATGTGGGAGTTTAGGAACGTCGCCAGGTCTTGGAGAACACCAGCGGATTGCAAGCTGTGCCAGAAACAAGAAAGGGGTGTGAGCTTCTAATGAGGAGCGAAAGTTTCACAGACCTTCCCACGGAGAGAAGGATTCCCAGGAAGAACAGGACGCCTTGAGTGTCAATTCGCGACAGTGCCTGCGGCACTTTAAGCTTCTGGCGATTCTCGTCACCATAGTGAATGGCATCCGTCAGAATCCAGAGGACTCCCAGTCCGAAGAGCATCCCGACGTAAGGTGGTAAGCCCGTGAGTGCTTTGAACACGGGCACGAACAGTAAAGCTCCCACTCCTACCGCGAGGACAAGCTTCCCTCGAGGAGCCATTTGCTCGCTAGACATGACTGGCTCCGGAGGTGCTTCTTTGCGAAATTCCTCGCTGCAAAACAAACGCACGAGAGTTTAGAACGTTGCAACATGAACCTGGGTCGGTTACCTCGAAACAGACATCAAGAGCAAGGGAACAGCTAGAGATACAGCCGACGGAATGAATAAACCCTGAGTCCATACCATGTATCAGTCAGCAGCAAAGAGCTACACAGCTATACCTGCATCGTTTTCACTGTTGAGATCTGTCCATGGATCCAAAGCATGGTGGTCGTAACATCACCAATAGGCGTCCAGGCACCACCTGCATTCGCAGCAATGACAACTACGGCGCCGAGTAGCCTACAAACGAGCAGGATATATTGCGGTGAAAAAAGTCTGGAAGTTTACGTACTTCCTTTGCTCCGGGTCGGGGACGAGTTTGCGCAAGAGGGACACCATCACAATAGTTGACGTGAGATTGTCCAGGATGGAGCTCAAGAAGAAGGTGATAATGCCTATCTGAGACATGATAGCTGTGTCTGCTTGAGAAACTCTTGAACAAAGCTTTCACCACGATGGAAACGCTTACCACCCAGAAGAGTGTGCGCGGGTTTCGTGTGCTTATGGAATCTGTGACAAGCTTGAAGCCTTGGTGCGCGTCGACGAGCTCCACGATCGTCATTGCTCCCAAAAGAAAAAAGACGAGCTCGCTAACTTCCTCGGACGACTTTGAGAGCTCCTCCGCAGCGACGTCGGGGGAGTCGGCCTGGAAGAAACGAAAAACGAGAACTAGGAAGTGTAGTGAAGATTCTCCGAGCCGAGCTTACCCCGAGGCTTCTTATCACCCACAATGTAACAGCCATCAACAGGCCAACTCCGCTCTTGTTAAATGCAAGAGACTCCTCAAAAACTATTCCCGCGTAGCCTGCTACGAAAACAATCACCAGGGCTAAATTCTGCACAGCAGCCATGGATCAGAAAAAAAAAGAAAAAAAGAGTAGAATTAGCGACCTGATTTTCTGCCACCCAAGACTGGTTGATGACAGCAACGCCAGCAAGAACAGCAGCACCAATGGCGAAAGCCTTGAACAGATCCGTCTTGGGCTTGTAGTTGGCCTCATACTCGAGCGAGCTCATGTCATCCACCGAGCACAGAGGGTCGCAAGTTCCCGACGGTGATCCCTGTGCATTAATACAAACAGTAAAGAAACTCTACAGCAAACTTAATCTCACCTCGTAGCCTCCTTGGTGCTCATCATCATCCGTGCTAGTGCTAGTACTGCTGCTGCGATCGGCAGGAGTGGCATTGAGTAGCAGCAGGCGTCGAGGATGGAGGCAGGGAGGGCGTGAATTTGGAGTTGCGCGGACGAGCGTGGCGGCCGCGCGTGAAATCCTGGCGTCATGGAAGCTGGGACGAGAGAATGCCGGAGACGAGGGGCCACAAACGGAAGAACCCACTAACCAACTCGTCGCGCCCATCTACCAAATTAACTACAAGCCCCGCCAGGCCACAAGAAGCCGCTAGCCCCGACTGGATGGATCGCCTACCTCTGGATGAAAGGGACTCGCAAGGCCACACACCACGCCGCTAAGTCGCTGTACGATGCCTCCTAGATCTTGTTGTTAGTGGCGTAAGTAATGAAGAGACCGATGGGGGAGCTACAGCAACAGTGATGCGCGCGTTACAATCCAAGAAATCGATTCAAGCGGTCTTCCCCGGATGATCCATTCCATTCCGCCGGTGGCGATCGCTGCGCTGCCGAGAAAGAAAGAGGGAAAGAAAGAGGGCCAAAACCTTCCAAAGGGAGGAAAGAAGAAGCCCTCGTTTTTGTTTTTCTTCCTTTATTCAAAAGGCCCAAAAGCCCCCCAAAGCAAAGCCCTCGTTTCCCTGCCAGTGACCGAGTAAAATAGCATAGCAGTAACTCTCTTCTCGCGAGCAAGAGCCCTAGCGAGCTTGGGGGAAGGGAAGATTTGGGGGCCGAGGCGCCGGGCCGCGATCAGATCTGCGCGCTGCGCATGCTGTCGCCAATTCGGAGGGAATGTGCCGCGCAGCGATCGATCTAGAACAAGGCGTCGCTCGCTAAGCCTGTTGCGGCAATGGTACGTTTGCTGCGATTGATTGGATTCCATCGCTTCCTGCTTGTCGGATTGATTGATTTCGAGGGGTGGAAGCTGTAGCAGATCCACGACTGGGAAAATTTCGAGCTGGTTGCGTGCTTGGATTAGCATTGGCAATGGCATTGTTGACATTGTCTTGGCTCCTTTGGTGTCTCTCTAGGTCACTCCTCCGCAATGTGCATGTGAATATCCTCTGTGTTTGTTTTTCAGGCTGCTGCCAACATCACTGTTGGCTCTCAAGTATGGGTCGAGGATGCTCGGCTCGCTTGGGTGGACGCGGAAGTGGTGCGAATCTCCGGCAATACGATCACAGCTCGAACGAGCTCTGGAACCACGGTGAGGCGAGAAAGATTTTACAAAACGGAGGGAGAAAAGAAACAAACTTTGCGATCACTCTCGCTGTTTGCAGGTCTCGGTAGACGTCGGCCATGCACACCCCAAAGATACCGATACAAAGCCTGGAGGAGTGGACGACATGACAAAGCTGGCATACCTGCACGAGCCTGGGGTTCTTTACAATCTTTCCAGCAGATACGAGCTTGACGAAATCTACGTGAGTTATGCAAAAGCATTGTGTCTTAGAGACAGCTGTAACAAATCTTTGTGCTTCTGCAGACGTACACAGGAAACATTCTCATTGCTGTGAATCCATTCGCCAAGCTCCCGCATCTCTACGATGTTCACATGATGGAGCAGTACAAGGGTGCCCCTCTTGGGGAGCTAAGTCCGCATGTCTTTGCGGTGGCTGACTCGGCGTTCAGGTACCTTTTCCCTACTCTAATGATGCTTCCGTGCCAAGTCCCATAAACTTTAGAGCCATGCTGAATGAGAACAAGAGCCAGGCGATTCTCGTAAGCGGAGAAAGTGGGGCTGGGAAGACAGAGACGACAAAGCTTATCATGCAGTATCTTGCTTACATGGGTGGCCGTGCTGCAACGGATGGCAGAACAGTCGAGCAACAAGTTTTGGAGGTAATTGTTTTTGCTGGTGGTGTCGACTTTCTCATGCTTTTGTTAACCGTCGACAGTCCAATCCGCTTCTCGAAGCTTTTGGTAATGCCAAGACTGTTAGGAATGACAATTCAAGGTAGGCAGCCCATGTCAATAATCGACAAATACTAACTTCGCTCATGTTCGTAGTCGATTTGGCAAGTTTGTCGAGATTCAATTTGACCAGAGCGGGAGAATCTCTGGAGCAGCTGTCCGGACATACTTGCTGGAAAGATCCCGGGTTGTTCAGATTGCTGATCCTGAAAGGAATTACCACTGTTTTTATCAGCTTTGTGCGTCACCTGAGGTTGAAACTATCGTTTCTTGTTGATGACAGTGGCGTTTGTTGACAAAATCTTTTCTACAGGATGTTGAGAAGTATAAACTTGGCGATCCGACAACCTTCCATTACTTGAATCAAAGCAACTGTTATGATCTAAATGGGGTCAACAATAGCAGAGATTACGCCAAAACAAGGAGAGCTATGGATGTTGTTGGCATAAGTCCTGTCGAACAGGTTCGAATGGCTGGTTTGGATCGAGCACTCTCTTATTGGTGATGTTTCAGGAAGCCATCTTCCGAGTCGTAGCGTCCATCCTGCACTTAGGAAACGTTGAATTTGTTCACGGAAAGGAATCAGACTCTTCCAAGCTCAAGGATGACAAGTCGAAGTTTCATCTTGAAGCTGCGGCGGAGCTCCTCAGGTCTGTATTGCCATCCAATAGTGAGTATTTAAGTTTGGACATTTTCAGGTGCGACGTAAAGGGTCTTGGAGATTCATTATGTACGCGTGTTATAGTAACGCGGGACGAAACTATTACCAAAACCCTCGACCCCATGGCAGCAACAGTCAACCGTGACACTCTTGCAAAAACTATCTACGCACGGCTATTTGATTGGTCTATTATCTCCTCGCCCGAGTAGCATTTTCTTAACGCTAACATGTTTGCATTTGCTGCAGGCTTGTAGAGAAGGTCAACAAATCAATTGGCCAGGATTCCAAATCCAAGACGCTGATTGGAGTGCTTGATATATACGGGTTTGAAAGTTTCAAAACAAACAGGTGCGCTTCTTATTGAATGCATTAGATTAGCATTTTAACTTAACTCATCATACAGCTTTGAACAATTCTGCATCAATCTTGCTAATGAAAAATTACAGCAGCATTTTAATCAGGTGAACTAACGCCGTTGTGAAGTTGAGACAGCTGCTAATTGTTTGTTTTGACTGCAGCATGTGTTCAAAATGGAGCAAGAAGAATACACTAAGGAAGCAATAGACTGGAGCTATATAGATTTTGTTGACAATCAAGATGTTCTGGACCTTATTGAAAAAGTAAGGTCATTGAGTTTGTCCATGCTTCTGATATGACATGCAAACTTTTCAGAAACCACTGGGTATCATTGCTCTTCTCGACGAAGCTTGGTAAGGCCAGGGTTTTCTCGGATTGCCTGTGACTTTATCGTCTTGTGCAGCATGTTCCCAAAATCAACCCATGAAACGTTTGCTACAAAACTGTTCCAAACTTTCAAAGCACATAAGAGGTTCAGCAAGCCAAAACTTTCTCGAACTGATTTTACAGTTGCACATTACGCTGGAGAGGTAATGCACCATTGCTGTGGTTTACTCGTTTTTTACTGTTCCTGGCAGGTCACTTACCAAACCGACCTTTTCCTTGATAAAAATAAAGACTATGTTGTGGCTGAACACCAAGCATTGCTAGGATCGTCGAAATGTTCTTTTGTTGCGGGACTGTTTCCGCTGTCCTCAGACGACTTTATGAAATCTTCCTATAAATTTTCCTCCATAGGAACTAGCTTCAAGGTAAGCTCTTATTTTCTTGTGACTGTTTATCTAATTTTTTTTTTTTCCTTTTTGACGTTGCAGCAACAACTGGGATTTCTAATGGAGACATTGAGCTCTACACAACCACATTATATACGGTGCGTTAAACCAAACATGTTCAACAAGCCCGGGCGTTTTGAGAACCCCAACGTCTTACAACAGCTTCGATGTGGTGTATGTTACTTCGGGTTCTCCACGTTTTTATTCTAACTTCTGTCCGGTAAATACAGGGAGTTCTCGAGGCTGTGCGGATAAGCTGCGCTGGCTATCCAAGTAGACGCTTGTTTGACGAATTTTTGGATCGTTTCAGCTTACTTGCACCGGAATTCCTAGATGGCCGGTATGTTTATTGTTCTCTTTCTAAGCTGCATTGAAGATTCGTTTGTGTTTGTAGGTACGACGAAAGGGCGGCAACTGAGAAGCTGCTTCAAAAGCTGAATCTGACTAAATATCAGATTGGTAAAACCAAAGTTTTTCTTCGTGCGGGCCAAATGGCAGAGTTGGATGCTCGGAGGGCGGAACTGCTAGGCAATGCAGCAAGAGTGATACAGAGGCAAGTCCGTACATACCTTGCGCGTAAGGAGTTCTTGGCAATCCGTAAGGCTGCCGTCTGTGTTCAAGCTCACTGGAGAGGTAACACATAACGATTTGTTCTTTCTGTCATTGTATTGTTGTTGGCATTTTTACAGGAAGATGTGCGAGAAAGCTATACGAAAGCATGCGACGGGAGGCTGCAGCTATTTGCATACAGAAACATGTTCGAAGGTGGCACCATCAAAAGGAATTCCAGAGGACTCGTAAGGCAGCAATATTTGTACAGTCCGGCGTCCGTGGGATGGTTGCTCGTAAGGAGTATCGTTTCAAAAGGCAAACAAAGGCTGCGACAGTCATTCAGGTATTTGTAGTTCGCGTTTTAGCCTTATACTGAATTTCTCACTGTTAAACTATGCTGAAGTCCCGGTGGCGAGGCTTTACAGCAAAAAGATATTACAGGAATCTTCGGAAAGCGGCGCTTACAACGCAATGCGCTTGGCGAGGACGTGTTGCCCGCAAAGAACTCAAGAAGCTCAAGATGGTAGGGAACTACTAGCCGCATCAGGATGAAATACTTGACATTTTTTTTCAGGCGGCAAAGGAAACAGGTGCTTTACAAGAGGCTAAAACGAAGCTAGAGAAACGTTGTGAGGAGTTGACTTGGCGTCTCCAGCTGGAAAAACGTTTGCGGGTAAATAATCGGTTTTTGTTGTAGTTTGGTAAACTGAACTGATAAATCTGAGCAGGTTGACTCTGAAGAATCAAAGAATCAGGATATTGCAAAGCTACAGGCGGCAATACAGAACTTGGAAAGTCAGATGGATATGCTAAATGCCTCGTTAGTGAAGGAGAGAACACAGAACAAGAAAGCTATAGGTGACGCAGTGAACGCAGCCCGGCAGTCTGTTGCTTCAGAAGTGCCCGACTCCAAAGTGGACCAACTCGCCAGCGAAAATGAAAAACTGAAGGTTCGTTGTTTGTTCTCCGCTGGGACGAACCACACTGACGTTGATCCGATTCCGTAGGCCTTGGTTGAATCTTTTGAGAAGCGGACTACTGAGCTCAACAACAACTTAGTATCGACCAAGAGAGAAGCTGAAGAGAACCTCAGGAAACTTACTGATGCATTGTCCAAAGTTGAGCAATTACAGGACCTACAGCACAGGTTAGTTAGAACATTTTGCGGAGCAAGCTTCTATGTTTGTGTTTATAGGTCGGAGGAGAAGCTGGCTAACCTGGAGTCCGAGAATCAAGTTCTGAGGCAGCAAGCGCTTGTTATGTCACCACAACGGACACTCAGCAACCGGTTCAAAACACCAGTGTTCCAGGTATGCCTCCAAAGGTTTTGATCACTTTATAGCTGCGAATCACGTGCAGAGGACTCCGGAAAACGGGCACCTTGCAAATGGTGATAACAAAATCATGCCGGTAAGTCTTGAAATTCTCGGGCCTCAATTACGTGTGTCATATACTTTTTACAAAACAAGCAGGAAACCCCTGTCGCCATACAAGCTGAAAAGGAAAATACCGAGACCGAGCAAAAACGCCAGAAGCAACTCACGGACAGGCAGCAGGTCAGCTTTGTTACCAATATTATTGATCAACTGGCTGTTACTCTCACAGGAAAACCAGGACATTCTGCTGCAATGTGTGATGAAGGATGTCGGTTTCAGCCAAAATCGACCTGTTGCGGCCGTTGTAATATACAAGTCTCTCCTACATTGGCGGTCATTTGAAGCCGAAAGGACTAATGTCTTTGACCGGATCATTCAAACTGTTGGAGCTGCAATTGAAGTACGTTTCTGTTGTTGAGTGGCCTGATCTTTATGTTTTCGACAACGGTACTGCAGAGCCAAGAAAACAATGACGTGTTGGCGTACTGGCTGTCTAACACGTCTACATTGTTGTTCCTACTGCAACGCACACTCAAGGCCAGTGGTTCTGGTCCTCAAAGAAGACGTGCACCATCTGTTACACTGTTTGGGAGGATGACTCAGGTTACAATATCTCTCGACTTGAACCGCTTATTGACAACATTTTGTTTCAGGGTTTTATTAAATCATCTCCAGGATCATTTGGCAATGGGGGGCTGGATGCGTCTCGACAAGTGGAAGCCAAGTACCCCGCTTTGCTGTTCAAGCAGCAGCTTACGGCCTACGTTGAAAAGATCTACGGAATACTGCGTGACAACCTGAAAAAGGAAATAACGTCATTGCTCGCGCTTTGCATTCAGGTAGTTTTACTACCTTTCCAGATAGATTTGTGCTACAGTTCTATTGCAGACCCCAAGAACTGCGCGTTCTTTAGGCAAAGCGGGAAGGTCTCCAAATATGGCCTTGGCAGCGCAACAAATGTTGAGTCACTGGCACAGTATAATCAAGAGTTTGACCGGTCTGCTCAACACGCTGAGAGCGAATCATGTGAGAAAGGGACAATTATCGTTTAGTTTCTAATTTTCTTCTTTCAGGCTCCACCGTTTCTTGTTCGAAAGCTGTTCACGCAAATATTCTCGTTCATTAATGTTCAGCTCTTCAACAGGTAATCTGCTAGCTTCACACTAAGATTGTGTTTTGACTTTTTGTACTTCCAGTCTTCTTTTGAGGCGGGAATGCTGTTCTTTTTCAAATGGAGAGTATGTCAAAGCTGGTTTGGCAGAGCTGGAACACTGGGTTTATGAAGCCACCGAAGAGGTGAGGACGTTTTACGGGATTCGTTTTGGGTGTGTAATACGGATCTTTCTGTGCAGTACGCTGGGGCATCTTGGGACGAATTAAAATACATCCGCCAAGCGGTTGGTTTCTTGGTAAGCTACTTACAAGCTCACAGAACTTTTTCTAAGACAAAATTTACCAGGTCATTCATCAAAAGCCCAAAAAGTCACTCGACGAGATTACACATGACCTCTGTCCGGTAACATAAAGACATACAATATGTGTAGGATCGTGAAATATTATCGCTGATGTGCAGGCATTAAGCATCCAGCAACTGTATCGTATCAGCACCATGTACTGGGATGATAAATATGGCACCCACAGTGTTTCTCCAGAGGTGCGTGGGTATTGTTATTGTTTCCCTTGTAACACGCATGGGTGCTGGTCGCAGGTTATTGCAAATATGAGAGTTCTTATGACTGAAGACTCCAACAATGCTGTGAGCAACTCCTTTTTGCTGGACGATGATTCAAGGTGAGCATGCGAATTCTGTCTCAGGCATATAAGATTCTGATGAATGTTTCTTCTTCGTTTGCTTCAGCATTCCATTTTCGGTTGACGACATATCCAAGTCGATGAAGGAGATGGACCTCAACGACATCGATCTGCCACCGCTTTTGAGAGAGAGCAGTGCATTCCATTTTTTGCAGCCTCAGTCGGAATGAGCAACACAGCTCGTCTTCGAAGGCCAGCAAGAAAAGCATGCTTGAAGCTTCGATTTCAGCTCGAGCCAGGTTCCTCTCAACACTATTCTTTTCCATTCGGATTGATTCTTTATACACAGGTAAAAGCAAAAAAGTTGAAAAAAGAAAATCGAAACAAAAAAAAAAAAACAAAAAGCAAAGAGAAGCGGAACATTGTACATTCATCTTTTCATATTCTTGATGGTGTTGTATTGAAAGGACTGTAAAAAATACAAGGAGATGCACTTTTGTAGTTTGTGATGGACCTTTACTTGACGTGTCTTTTCTCGACCAAGTGTTGCTCAATCTCTTTCCAGATTCTTACGTAGGCTGCGGGGCGGGGAGGAGGAGCGGAGCCGAGTGGCACACACTCAATCTCCCAAACGACCACACTCTTGCTTGGCTCGCTTTGAATCGGATGGAAACGCAGCGTACCAACGTAGTGACTGTACAAGTGACTAAAGTCACAGTCTTCCAGCATAGTGTATCGAATCGTCATGGAAGCATCATCGACCAGTTCCAGTCTCTCTTTCGCAAACACCACCTTGGAGCTTCCATCTTGCTCTGCAAATCCAGAAAGCCATTAAGCGTCAAACTTGAGAGTTGCTACTTACTGAGGCCAAGAAGCCTGATGGTACCAGCTTCGCCGCCTCCCACCAGATACTCCACGCTCTGGATCACACCAGGAATGATGCCCGCCAGTGATTTGGCATCCCTGAACGTTTGCCACGCCTCCCACGCTGAAACGTCGAGACCAACTTCGGCCCGGCACACCTCCATAGCTGCAAGAGGAAACCACTTGCCAACACAAGAAGAACTCACGCAAACAAAGAGCCAAATCGCAAATATGCTCTTGGATAGATCACACAAAACAAAGTCCCTGTAGCTCAAAGCTCGGTCTTCATTTCCTTCAAGTGGTCCGCCAAGAGTCCGGTCTTATGGTTGTCAAGCAACACTGGGAAAAGAGTAGCAGCAAACTTAGAAAACAGAATGCAAGCTTGGAACTAGAGAAAGAACTCACACTCCGCTCCTCCGTAGTGCATTCCATTGACAAACACCTGTGGAGTGATCCAGTAGCCGAGCCACCTCCGGAGAGCTTTTTGTATCATCCATGCTTCGTCTGGAAAGCAAAAGCAAAGAGATGAACGAAAGAAAGAAAAGAGAACAGACGCGCTACCTGATTTCGTATGGTCGATGTCAATGAAATGCGGCTTCTCTCCTTGCTCCGACATCGCCGCTTTCACGCGATTCGTCATCCTAAGTGGAAGTTCTCACTTCCTCAGATCAAGGAAACAGAGCCTTTTCATTCCTTTAAGCTTGCTAGAACTTGCATTTGTGATGTAAACTTACGTGCAATCCTTCTTCCCGACGATGACAACCCTGTGCTGCGCCACCAGATCCATAAACTCATCCAGCGCTCGATTCAGCTCCGGATCGCTCCTGTCCTTCTCGCGATCCACAGCACTCTCATCCAATCCATGCCTCGGCGTCGCGCTTCCAATCCTCGCGACTACCAGCGCAGCGATCACGAATCCCAGCACCAATCTCATTTTGACCTACAAACAAACTAACCGATCCTTTCCCTTTACTCAAGTCTAATACAAAAAAGATTCTCAAAAACGAATTAGGGCTTATGCGAGAGTGAGAGAACTCTCCCCTTTTCCTCTCTGCCCCGATGCGGTGCTTCACCAGCGATGCTTGTGGCAGCTGCAGCACAGGTAGGTAAGCTCTCTTCTCAGTCGCGCTCCACTCCAATTTACTCCAATTCCACTCCATTTCCCAGGTTTTGGGGGTAAGATTTGCTGGTTTCTTGCTCACGCCGTCGGTGTGGGGCTGCTCATCCTTCTCTACGAGGAATTGCAACACCAGATCTTCTCCTACACTTGGTAAGCCTCAAAAACGAGATCCCTTTTTGTTTTTGTGCACTCTTTCACTGCTCATTCGTTGACACTCTCACTCTCAGGTATGCGTTGCTATATCTCGTCTTGATCGTTGTTACTGTCATTCAGTACTACCGGGTTGCTGGTTCGTCACCGGGGTAAGCAAAAAATCCTCGCGAGATTCTTGTCACGATTTCAGTGATTGGAAGCTACGTGGAGGATCTGGAAAACGATCCAGAGTTCGAAGCGGGAATTAAAGCTGTAGCCGGCTCCACTCCATTGTGAGTTTTCCTTTTTGTTTTCTCTTCGCTTAGATTCTTTCCTCATTGATTGCGACTTTCAGTTCTCACTGCAGTACCTGTCGCGTTGTCCAGGTAAGAAACCAAGTTCTTCTGACCTATTCTTGCTAAAAATCTCATTTTGCTTTGTTTTCTTCCATTGCAGCCTCCCAGAACAAAACACTGCCACGATTGTAACAAATGCGTGCTGAGATTTGATCATCACTGCGTCTGGCTGGACACTTGCATCGGACAGTACAATCATCGCAGATTCTGGTACGTTTCACAGGCTCCTTGTGTTCATTGCGTCCCAGATTCTGACTGTGGAGCACGCAGGTGGTATGTTTTTCTGGAGACCTTTTTGTGCATCTGGTCGACAGTCCTCTACTTTCTTGCCTTCCACTTGCAAAAGAGCTCGGCATGGTAAGTGCCCTCTTGTCGTGCGCTTGGTTTGCAATTCACACTTATTTCGCTCCACAGGCCACAGAATCTGCTGCTGCTGGTGACGTTCGTGGGCCTCCTCTGTTGTTCTATATTTCTTACCACCCTGCTCGTTTTCCACAGGTAAAGATAGGAAAAAGAGTGATCGCTAACTTCTGTTTGCAGTTATCTGGTGCTTACAAACCAAACGACGTATGAGAAAACACGTCGCACACGAATTCCATACCTCCGGTGAGCAGGAATTTCTCGTAACGCAGCTCACAAAGACTGGGTTTTTGCAGCAACCTTCCGAAGGATGCGCACCCCTTCAGCAAAGGAGGTTGTGGAAATGTAACCGAGTTTTGCTGCGCGTCGCAACCGTATCGTTTCTACAATCTTCCTCCCGACCATGAAGCTGCTGGCCCGTGCCTCGCTGCAAGGAACGCAACCGAGTCGATAACCAAGTCTACCAAGTGCTGCTCGTGGTGGCGATGATACATTGGAAGCCGCCGCCTTTTTATTTTTTTTCCTCTCTCGTATTGCGCGCTGTGTACCATTTCCTGAGTGTGTAAATAGCTAGCCTTTCCTAGTAGCGTTTTCCTCTCATATATTAAAAATGTAACATGCTGGCTTGTACGAAACGTCTACGGATTGTCATGTCGTTTGGACTTCCATAACAAACTCCCATCTTTCTTTCATTCGAAGAACATAGAAAAGGAAAATCTTTGCCAAGAAATTTTGAGAAGAGTAATGGTTAAAGAGTAGCGTGAGTGACAGACACTCAAGTGCTACGCTAAAACGCTGGGATGGACGCGTAGAAACACATTCCAGTGGCGATGGCAGCAACCAGCACCAGCACGGCAGCCGCCAGCTTGTCTTGCGTGATCTTCGTCTTCCATCCGCTGTCGTTTCCCCGAGCCTTGTTCTTGGTCGTCGTCTTCTTCTTTTGCAGCGGCTCGTCCTCTGTGGGAGCCATCTTTGTTGCTTGTCCGTCCTCCGCATTGTCTTGAGCATCCCCTCCTCCTTTTGCTTTAGCCGCGACAGTGACGCTTCTCGCGTTGACAGCACGCTTCTGTTGCTTGGCTCCGCAAACGCCTCCTATCACGCCACAGGGACAGGCGTACACTGTCTCGTCCGCGGTTTGCCTCGAAACTTGAGACTGGCGCTGTTGATCCTCGGTGAGGCCCATTTGACCCCTGCCAAAAGGAGTAAAAACCAGGATCAAACAACACCAACAACGTAGTAACACTCACCTCCACAGCTTGTCAACTATCTGGCCTCTCTCTATGTGCTGCTCCAGGAGCACCGAAACATCGTTGGGAGTGACATATCCATACCTGCGTTGCAAAGAGAACGAGTCAGCTTTGAAACGAAGAAAAAGTGAGTGAGGACTTACCAGTGCCCCGAGACTGGACCGCCTCCTCCGCTAGCGGCGTAGATGATAACATTGCCAGCGAATTTGTGACCACCAATGTGGGAGCAAGCCTTGACTGTGACACGACCACTCAAACCCCTGGCTTCAATCTCGTCCCGGAATTTGTCGACCAGAACCGGGCCGCAGCTTCCGCAGCGTGCGTCGCGAGCTCCGTGAGCGCAGATGAAGACATGGCTGCCACTGAGAGGCTCCTCGACACCATGGCTCCATATCTGCTCATTGACCACCACTTCCTCTACAAATGATTCCGCGTCAGAGGCTCTCAAACCTCTGCAAAAACGAAATACTAAAGTAAGTGCATGCAACTTTGGATCCAGATAGAAAAGAAAAGAAACAAAGCCCGAGACCTGTAGCGCACGAGATCTGGAAAGACAAAAATGTCTCCCTCCGTTGAATCAGATGCTTCACAAACAGTCAACCGGATCTGCAAGAACACGCGAGAGAGGAGATCAGACAAAGAAATCCTGTTTTAAAAAGAGCCAGCAGCACCTTGTTGGGCATATCGTTCTTGCGAGCCTTGAACGCAGCGAAGAGAGCGTGCGGAAGGCCACCCAATTCCGCACTCTCCACCTGCGACGGCCAGCTGAGAGCATCCTTGTAGCACACGAACAAGTGCCTCTGGTAGAAAGACACGCTCCCCGCCAGCGGGGACTTGTACATCTCGGGCCTGTCGAAGCCGGTCGACGCTGGCAATTGACTCGACGCCGCCATGTCTCCCTTTGCTGCTGCTGGTGGTGGCGGTGGCGGTGGTAGCGCCCTACTAGCCGAGCAAGCGCTAAAAGGTTGAACGAGGCGATGAAGAAAAACTGGCACCTTCACCTTTTTCATATGTTCATAATGTACGGACCACCTTGATTCTTGGGCTGCTACGATCCAAACACGCAATTCCCCTCGGCTCTGCTTCTGCTGGATGATGCTGATTGCCACTAACCTTCTCCAGCGTTTTTATTTCTTTTTCTTCCGGTTGCACCTCCTCCGACCTGCGTATTTGTGCGCTGCTATGCTAGGACTCGGGGATTTGAGGATTTGGAGCCTTGTCCCTGTGCTGTGACGACGGCGAACCCTGTGCCTGTTTTTACTTTAGGACGCCGAATACTCGAGCAGTAGCCTGTTGTCAACCGAAGGAATTGACGAGAAGACGAGGCGCAACTTGTTGTTGAGATGATAGATCAGTGTCCACTGCGTCGCCATTTCCGACTCCTTCAATTGTCGCACCACTGATGCCTGCGCAGTGAACGAATGACACACGTCTTCAGGAACGAGGAAAACGTTTATAAAACGACACCAACCTGTAGATGCTTGCCGAGTCGCACTTCAACTTCCGTACCGAAGGAGAGGTTTGCAAGCGACTTGAACGGGTCTGTTGTGGGATCCAGGGACAGGAGGTTTGGAATCTGTGGTGCATAAACAAGCCGCCAACGAGCCTGTCCAAACTCTCCTTTGGTTTCTATCTTCGGCATGAGTGTCTCGACCGTAGCAGCCGCAAGTTTCTTGAAAGCAAACTGACCGTTGCCTTCGAGCAGCGAATCCACAAGTTGATTTTCAAACAGCTTAGCGGCCTGCACGATCGCACGCATCAGCGAGATAAATAATATACAATAGAAGCTTACTTCAATACGAGTCAATGTGTCTTGTTCTCCAGAGCGAGCATAAGTCAAAACAATGCTGTCCTGCCAATTTTGTGCACGCCCTTGAACTTTCAGCTGGAAATGCAAACCGACCAATGCTAAATCCAAGTTAGGATCGAGACCCTGTTCCGGTTCGAACTTGGCACGGTTTGGATAATCCTTGTTCAATCTCACCTGAAACACATCATTAGCGGCGCAAGAAACAGCTTAGCTTACCTGAGTAGCAACAAGGTTTACATCACCATTCTCAAACGTCAGCACTCCCTTGGGCTTGACACGCTCGGCATCAGCAAATCCATGAAACTCCAGCTCTCCATTTACCGCGAAATTCAATATCAAAGGGTAAACCATTCGCAACTCAGGTCCAAATTGCAGCTTCAAGCCTTTCAAGCGTACGGCCACTGGCAGTTTACGTTCGTGGCTTTCTTCTTTGACCAACTCGAGATCTGAAAATTATGTCAGCTATACGTTACAAAACAGATCTACAGACCTGACAAAGCACGAGGGATAGTCGAGGTTGCCGCCTTCGAATTCTTTTCTTGAGAAAGATACAGTTCGCCCCGACTGAGCTTGACGACACCTGTAAGTTCGGGATCTGAAAGGCTTCCCATGACAGACAGCTGTCCATCTACTTGTCCACTACACACAGATACGCCATGTGAACTTCCTGACGCCTAAAAGCATTACATACCTCAACATATTTTTTGCACGGACCTCCAGAGAATCGGCTTTCACTTCCAAACTGCAGTCACTGCTATCGACAGCAGCTTTCAAAGGTAGTTTACCTTTAATCAGAAGCCTTCCTCTCTTCCCAACTTTGCCTTCGATAGCATCAACAATCAGCTCATTATTCTTCACGGTGACAGTTCCGCCAATATTATGTGCTGGTTTTGGTAGTATAGGGGACGAGACAGTCGCTTTGTGAAAGACAGCCATTCCATCAAACTTCGGTTGCTCGGATGCCCCTCGAACCTGCTCTCAGAGTAAAAAGGCGAAACCGAGAAAGAAAACGAAAATACCTGAAGCCTCACGTCCGCGTTTCCTTGGAGCCATTTCATACTTGGTGTAATTGTTGTCAGCAGCATCATCCCACTGTCCTTGACAACAACGTCAACGTATAAAGCTCCTGCATCGATGAAATCCCACTCCGATGATGCACTATAATCAGTTTGCCCCTCACTGTTGCCATGGCCCCTGTTGTTGATACTAGCGCCCATCCACTTTTTCACAGCAGCATTTCTCGACTTCGACTGTGGATCTAAAGCCTTGGACCCCAACGGTATACTGCCTCTCACGTAGACATGGCCCGCATGCACGACAGGTTCAAGTCGAGCGTTGAAAACAAACTGATTCCCGGATGTTACCGATGCAGCCAAGTCCGCCTTGCTTAAGTTGATACCGCCAATAGCCCCATCGAGCAATCTTACGTGAACATCACATTCTGGCTTGTTGCAATCTCCTCTGAGGTCCCCTTCCATATGCAGGACTCCGTTCAATGGAGCATGCGGTGCCGAAGACTGGAGAGGTTCGACAGAGGACGATTGGATGGCTTGCGTCAGGGGCGGCACAAGCTCCACAGGGAAGTTCAAGAGAGCAAAATGCAGGTTCGAATTTGGCCCGAGCATCCCATCGGCATGGAGTGTTGCAGTATCCTTCTGTAAGAAGACCTTCTCAAGCCGGAGACCGTCCGTGTAACAGTAGCTTCCAGTCGCCACAGCACTTTGTATGTTATATACACCCCATTCCCAGTTCTCGCCGTGAAGATCCAAACTTGCCTGTACGTAATAGCATTTTAGACTATGGTAAAAAACTCGCACTGACGATCTTACTGTCATGTCACTGTTTCCACCGCCGCTTGCTTCAAATGTACCATGCCAACGGCCCTTCAATTCTGCAAGACCCGGCAAAGGCAACGAATCCGCCGAGCTTCGATCTTGAGGAGACGTAGCGCTTTCTTTCTTTAAAAACTAAAAGATCCACCACAAACACGACAGTACGTAAACAAAACAAACAAACGAAGAAAAGCAAACAAGGTACCTCCATTTGCTGTTTCAAATTGTGTGCAAGAAAAGCAGCCTTTTCCACCTCTTGTAAAAACAATTCCTAGCATCACAAAGCAACGTCACTACGGAGATGGTAAAAAACATATAAATACCTTAGATCTTGTTACAATTGCAGGGTCGCTGCTCCTAGACAGAAGACGAGCAACAGGTAGCATATCCGACAGCTCCGCTCTAGGTACTTCCAGACGAAGCCTCCACCTCCCTAAGGAGCTGATGGCATTTTCAAGATGTCCTGCCATCAACTTCTGCCACATTCCGTCACTCAGGTGTCTTTTGTTGCCCGATACGACAGCCCTTTCACGAGGGCCTGGCAGCACGTATTCACCCCGAAGCTCGTATGTGCTGTCCGCTTGTTCAAGCAGAGATTTCTCCAACGTAACCTTCAAGGTGAATGCATGATAAGAACAGAGGGGCATTAGCCAGTATGCTTACCACGTCGCCTGACCACCGGGCTGATACATCAAGAAGCTCGCCTTGCATGCCACTAAACCTTGGTCGTCCGACTGACAAGCAACCATG